GGGCCAAATCAGCTTATGCGCGGAGATGAAATTTTCTATCAATGGGCAAGTTATCTTACAGAAATCAAGCATGAAGGCAGACAGGCAGGTACAGTTGCCAAGCATATGCTAGTATCACTCTGGGGGCGATTATATTCAGATGGACGAAGACCAGGTCCTTATCGACGCATGGCACCTTTTATTTCAGCAAGGGGATGCAAAACAGTATCAGAAAAAATCAGATTACTAGGTGATTGTATAAAGCGCGTCCATACAGATGGGTTTATTCTTTCAGATAAAATTAGCGATCAGGTGATTGGAAAACAAGCAGGAGAGTTAAAAATAGTTAATGCAGGTAATGTCTCAATAAAGAATGCAATGCGACTAGAGTGGACTAATTTTGAAGAAATAATCCCAACCATATCCACGAAGTTGAAAGAATCAACCATCTGTTATGTAACTGCAATGCCAAATGAAATATTTGAAAGAATTTTCCAATACCACAGCATGAATGGGAAAAAAATAAATAAACTTTTATTGGTTAATAAGCAATGGTATTACAATGCTAGTAGACTAATATGGCATAAAATAACTCTAACAGATATCTCCAGAGTCAAGTTTACTAATGCATTGAGTAAAAATACGAAGCCAAAATCATGTGAACAAGTATTATCTCTGAAATTTATTGGAACAATAAATATAGGACCGGATGTATATATTTCTGAAGTGTGTAAGGCATGTGCAAATTTACAACAGCTAAGTTTTGAAAATTGTAAGTTGCGTATAATTAATAATAAAAATTTAGAAGCACTTTTAGTTGAGTGTCCCAATTTAAAATTACTTGCAATAAGAGGTTCCAGACGCTTAAGCCCAAAAACAATTACAAAAATTCCAAAACTGGCTCCTAACCTGAAAACGATAGAAATTAGTAATTGTTTGCAGATTAAAAAAGATATAATAGCCGATTTTCAAAACTTATATCCAACAATAAGGCTTATATTTGTTGACCAACTCAAACAGTAAAAATAGCAAAAAATGAGTAGTTGTCTACCGTTTTCCTAATGCTATTCTTGAGATCACAATTGAGAGATATATTTTTATATTAATATTTTTTTTCTTATAAATTGGTGGTATCGATGTGAAATAAAAATCTATGAAATGTATACTCCTCCTTTTCTTCACTAATCATTCACTAGATCGATCAGTCATTGGTTCATACTTATTAAATAAAAGTCTTAGTTAATAAAATCCACACGTTAAACATGCCTAATATTAAAGCTATTTTTGAGGAATGGGAAAAAAATAGTTATACCTGATACATGTTAACCGAATATGGTTTAAACTATATCAATAATCTAAAAACACCAGAAGCATGGTTACAATTTGCAAAGTATCATCCACCCGAATATATACGAAGACGTTTATTTATATCAGAACATGAAATAAAAGGTAAGAATTATTGGAAAAACTTTGTATTCCGTATTAAAAATAATTTAACCAGAAGAGAATATATAGCCAATAACTCTGAAGTTAGAGAATTTAAAACCCAAGTAGCATATTTTAAAACTTTGTATATAAAAACTCAACTGGCTATTATCATCCAGCGAGCATATTGTTTATGGAAAAAATGAATAAATTTAGCTAAAATAATCTAGCGCGCAGTGAGGAAATGGCTTTATCGACCAGGTGGCACATTAATGAAATGTGCCCAAGATCGGTATTATCAAAATGCTAATAAACTTGAGAATTGCCAGTAGATTGAGTGATTTTGGGGTTTCTGTCCAAATTAAATTATCATTGCTTTATTTCATCTGATTAACATATTACTAATTTGTAAATAATTCACGATTGCCAGTAGATCGATCGGTTCTTGGCTCATACTAAATAATTCATAAATGAATAGATCGCTAAATCCGAAATTAGTATCTAAAATTATTTTTTTTTAGTCATAAAGAATATACTATAAATAAGCTAAGTATAAAGAATTTTATTGTAAAAACTTATCTGTACTTGCTTCACTGATATCATCATGTCCCTTGCTAATCTTCAAAACCTCGCTCTTAATATTTTAAAAGAAACAAAACATAGTGCAGTACAAAATATTGATGTTACAGAATTGCCACCATGTAAAATTTGTAATAAAAAAATTTTAACAGTTAACTTTGAATCACTTACAATACTTCCATGCAGTCATGTATATCATAGAAAATGCATTGAAAAAAAATTTTTATTTACAAAAGAAAACAAATGCCTTATTACTAAATGCGAAAAAACTATTAATCCCGTAATATTTGAACAAAGGTTTTCTGAATCATCTCAGTCTAGTGAAACTTCGGCTATTGCAGATATGTTAGGCAATAATCTTGGGCTAAATTCACCAATGAATACATCACCATTATTTGGAGATGGAATACAAAAAAAGCATGTCAGAGAACCTACAAATAAACCATCTAATAAAAAAGTAAAGAAACCGGTTAAAAAGGAATCAGACATATTAGAAGATCTTATAAAAGAATTATCTACTGAACCCGAAACTCAAGTTCCTGTAATTAGAAAAGAAAATGCTATTAGTTTTAATGATTTATATAATAATATAACTAATTCAGAAATGCAAAATGAA